CGTCCGAGCGATGCCAAGCGTCCCCTGGGACACCATGAACAGTCGGAGTTCCGCGCGGATTTCTCGGGTCGGACGGCGCTGGGCCCCTCTCCCCCGGCGCGCTCCGCGCTTTGGGTTAAGTCGGGCGTGTCCCCCTACAGGGGGAGCTTGGACGAAATATTAAAAATACTCAAGAAATACCCCAAAATGATCAAACATGGTAAAAAAATCGTCCCCATAACATTTTTAAACTATTTTTGAATATTCCCCCTGTAGAGGGACACGCCCGACTTAAGCTTTGGGGGGCGGCGCCCGAGGCGCCGCCAGGGGGCGGCCAAAGCCGACCCAAGGAACCCACGCGGACCAACGAAGGTATGTTTTCATGCAGCTTGCCCTTCACGGGAAGAGGACAGGAGGTTGAGGTTGGAGGAGATCGCGCGGGAGCATAAGCTGAATGAATGCCACGCTGCCGTAGGGGACCCACCAGCGCGGTGCTGTGTTGAAGAGACAAGTCTCCGGACAACAACGCAGCACGCTGACGGGTTCGCAGCGGCGGCGTCGTATCATTCATACGGCACGTTCTTGTCGTGACGACCCAACCGGGCGTCAATTTCTGACACCGTGTGGATCATTCAACCTCAATCGACCGGCTTGACACTCGATCGCCAGATTGCTTCACTTTGGAAGACGATGTGCCACTGGCGGCGATTGATCTTACACATCACAATTGCACAGAGTGGGACCAGCTCAGGGAGGAAGCATCGCGACTTGGAACCGCCGATGCATCGCCGACAGCTCGGCGATGGCCCCCCGATAACGAATCCGCGCGTTCGTCGGCGGGGCGGACCATCGAGCCCCGATAATCCGCCGACCCTGTCGGCGTGTGCGAAGGGCTTGGCTGTTCGAGTCGTCGTCTCCGTCGGTCGTCGCCTCAGTCGTCCCCTTTCCCTGCAGCTTCCTTCTCAAACTCGTGGGCGAGAGATAAATGGAGCAGTGTCGTAATCGAATCGAAGGGAAGCCCCTTCCCTTTGATCCCTTCCCCGGGGGGGGGGGGTCCCGGGGGGGGGGTCCCGGGGGGCGTGTGGGTCACTTTACAACCAGACCAGAAGCGCACTTTACTACCAGATGGGTCACTTTACAACCAGCTTACAAAATCCGAGAAGGGCACTTTACAACCAGGAAGGGCACTTTACAACCAGGCAAGTAAAAACACATATTGAATGCACGCGGGCCTTTCCCTGAAATCTCCGTTGGCAAGCGCAAGCGTGGTTTTGGGCTCTTTGAAGCATGTTGGTTGTGGAGTTGCCCATCGCGCGCGAAGAAGCACTGCGCACGCGTTGGCGATGCGGCGACCTGGTGCGCTATGGTATGTTGCGTGCTGGTGGGCGGATTAGGGTTTTGACCTGCTCTCTAAGCTCTGTTGGTCAATTCTGCCATTGCTTGCTCTGCTTTTTTCTGACGGACGAAGGCTAGTCGCGCAGGACATACGAATAAACCATGATCCCGTCCAAGACTGGAGCTGCATGGCAGCGGGAAGCTGTAGTGGGAGATGTGGTGGTAGGGGGGGCTACAATGGGAACTGCATGGCGTTGGGGAGCTGCGGTGGCAACTGCGGTGGTCGCCAGGCAGCGGCGGGAACTGTGGTGGTAGCTGGGCTGAAATGGGATTTGCGGTGGTAGCGGAGGGTCAGTCGGAATTGTGGAGGTAGCAGGGCTGCAGCGGTAAGTGTGGTGGTAGCAGGCACAAAGGTGGCGGTGATGCGCCGTCACGATGGCTCAAGCTGCTGCGCTGGCACGGTGGCTGAGGCTGCTGCCCGAGCAGGATACCTGCGTTGCTGCGCTGGCACTGTGGCTGACGCTGGAAGGAACGATCTTCGAAATAGTTGCATTTTTTCGGAACGTTGAACCTCGATCTTCCAAGAAGAGGAGCAGCAGGGGGCCAACTGGAGCTGGAGCACTTAGCCCCTTGCAGAACGCCGTGGGGCTTCAGGGGCCAACGTGGCCCAAGAGACCCGCGGTGCCAATGGCCTAGTTCCCTGGGGCGCTGGGCCCTTGTGGAGGCCACTGGGCTCGCTTCCTGTGAGTGATCCCTAAAATGGGCAACGCGTCGCCCTGAGCCTTCCTACGTACGCTGTCGCCTTATTCCCGTGCGAGCACGGGGCCCTTGTTGAGGCCGCTTGGCCCCTGCTAGAGCGCCAGAGCGCCAGAGCGTCCAGGCGCTCGGGCTCAGAGGCATCGCCGGGGCCTGCTCAGAGCGTCCAGGCGCTCGGGCTCAGAGGCATCGCTGGGGCCTGCGCAGAGCGTCCAGGTCCTCGGGCTCAGAGGCATCGCTGGGACCTGCGCAGAGCGTCCAGGTCCTCAGGCTCAGAGGCATCGCTGGGGCCTGCGCAGGGCGTGGAGGCGCTCGGGCTCAGAGGCATCGCTGGGGCCTGCGCAGAGAGTTCAGGCGCTCGGGCTCCAGAGCGCCCACGTGCTCTGGAGCACTTTTAAGAGCGTCCGGGCGCCCTGGAGCACTTTTGAAAGCGCCCACTTGCTCTGGGCCATTTTTCAAAGCGCCCACTTGCTCTGGGGCATGTTTCAGAGCGCCCACTTGCTCTGGAGCACTTTGCGTAACGCTCAAACGCGCACGGCCACTCTGAGCTGGTCGTAAAGTGGTCCGTTCTGGTTGTAAAGTGGCCCGCTCTGGTTGTAAAGTGGTCCGTTCTGGTTGTAAAGTGGGCCGTTCTGGTTGCAAAGTGGACGTTCTCGATGAAAAACCATACTTTCCAATCCTATGTTGGTTGTAAAGTAACCCATCTGGTTGTAAAGTGGTTGTTCTGGTTGTAAAGAAAACGAATCTCGTCGCGGGGGGGGTCCAGGGGGGGGTCCAGGAAGGTCCCGGCGGGGGTCCCGGGGGGGGTCCCCGGGGGGGTCCCGGGGGGGGTCCCGGGGGGGGGGTCCCAGGGGGGGTCCCGGGGGGGGTCCCGGGGGGGGTGAGGGGGCAAATTCGTTTTTCCTCGGGCGGCCTAGACACCTCGAAAACACTCCAAATGAGGTCCGAACGCCCCAGATGGCCCCCGAGACGGCCCAAGAGAGCCCCGAGTCGCCCAAAGATCGGCCGAAAACGCCCAAGATAGCCCCAAGACCGTCCAAGAAGCCTCCAAGACGTCCCAGGCTCCCTCCAAGAGACCCCCAGGAAGCCCCAAGAGGCCCCCACGAGGCTTCCAAGCGGCCCCTAAGAGCTTCCCAAGAGGCCCACAAACTACCCCCAAGAGGCCCCCAAGAGCGCTCGTCGTCGTCGTCGTCGTCGTCGCCATTCAGGGTCGGCGGCACCGGCCGTAAGGCCTTCGCAATAAAGGAACAGAACACGGCATAAGCATAAACGGTTGATGGTCCGCGCGGATGTCTTGGAGCTGAGCTGGACCCCCAAGGGCGGTGCCGGAGGCGCCGACAGGGGAGCCCAACGCAGATCCAAGATATCCGCGCGAAGCGTCCCAAATTTGTGTTTATTCCGTCTTTCCTCCTTCGGAATAATTGATGACGGGGCGATGCGAAGTCGATGCCCCCCCACCCCCCCCATGAGCAAGTCGATGCCCCCCCCCCGTGAGCGTATCACCCCCTCAAAACGCTGCCTGCCCATGGCCTTCCGCTCCTCCGGTTTTTTGGGCACCGCTCAGGACGACCCAGGCACCCCAGGGCCCCCCCAGAACGCTCCCAGCGAGGCGCGGCTACTAGAGAGCATCCCGAGGCTGGAACACCGCCGAGGACCAATGAAAACGCGAGAAGAAACTTGAACCTCGACCCCGAAACATCCCCCCGTGGGCCTATCGCCCACAGATGTGATTGCACCTGATATGTTCCGAACCCTGAGGACAGAGGATGGGGGGGTGAGGTGCTGAAACGCATCCCAGAAGAATAATAATAAGAAACAACATGATAATGAGACGAATGAAAAGGATAATCATAATAATAAAAAAAGAAGAACAAGAAAAGGCCATGGTATCCCCGGCCATGAGAACCAGCCCCCCCCGGATCAGCACCCCTCTAATGAAGGGGCCCATGGATACAGAAGTACATAAACACGCATCCCAGGATCCCCCACATGTTTCACATGTCCTGCATGTCTGTCAACTTCCACTTCCCTGGTTCCTATATGTTCCTGAGAATCGACGGTTGTTTGTCTGTGCGTGATGTTGGCCATTTTCCCTGCGAGTTAGATCCACAGCCAGTGCGTCTTGGACTCTCTTGGAAGGGAAGGGACGCCACAAGGCCGAGGCGCACTGGATGTTGGTACAGATCGAGCCCCCAGTGGGGAAATCAAACGCCACCGAAACGGCTATTCCCCAGGCCTCACGACGTGCGTACTGGCCAGCCTTTCGAGGCGAATCCCGCAGGGGTAGGAGGGCCTCCCAGGAGTACCAGGAAAAGGAAACAGTCAAGAGAGAAAAAGGAAAAAGACAAGAGGGTAGCGACATGGGCACCTTTTCCGCCTCCGATCTGAAGGCCAACTTTGGATCCATAGCCAGGGCCTCTCTTTTGCTGCCCCTCCCGGTCTTCGCCGGCGGCGCGCATGGGGGAAGTACTCTGTCGGAAGGCTCGGACGCTGAGAAGCTTCGTACACCTTATCCGCGCAGACGCAGCAAAAAAGGATCGGCGGGCGCGAGGGCACGTGTGAGAAATCCCGCCGCCGCCCTCAGGGAAGGCCTTCTCCCTCTCGTTCCCCCCCCCCCTCGCTCGCCGCCGAGCTAGGGTCAGCTACGCGCAAAGGTGACCCTGGGTAAGAGTGACCTTTGGTGCGCGGTTTTTTGGGGGCCGCACGGAGACCAAATCTGGGCGCGCAGCCAGTTCCTACTGCTTCGTTGTCAGCCATCTGGGGACCCACCTGCGCCCGCACCAAAGGTCACTCCAGCGAAAGATCACTCTTACGTCTAATCGATAGGGGCCCCCGAAGGCCCAGGCGCGCCGACCGGGCCGGCGGGATCCCGCGCGGGCGTCTCGAGGGGCCCGCGCCCCCGGGGGAGCGGCGGCGCCCGCGGCGGCGGCCTGCGCCGCGCGGGAGGGGTGGAGGAGGTCGCCCTGCCACAGCACGACCTCGGCGCACAGAGTGGCGGCGGCCTTCCCTTCGCCTCCTCCTCCTCCTCCTCCTCCTCCTCCTCTTCCTCCTCTTCTTCCTCCTCCTCCTCGTCCTCCACCTCCTCCTCCACCTCCTCCTCTTCCTCAGGACAAGGAAGAAGATAAGGAGGAGGAGGAGGAGGACGGGGAGGAGGAGGAGGAAAAGGAGGAGGAGGAGGACATATGTTGAAAGAACTTATTCGGAAAAGGTTTTTGAAATCTCATTGGGCGGGGGATGTGGGAAGGGGAATGACGGACCCCGCTATAGAATCATGGTCCCCGATGATGGGGATGGTTATCATGATGGTCGCATGCTTCGTGTGGAAACATCGCTTGAGGGTAAATGATTGTCGTTGTTGTTCTTGTTGTTGAATGCGAATCATTACGCAAGAATTATTGTTGGACCCCTTACAAAGCCCTGGCGCTCTCGCCGAGGCACCAGCTGCATGTCATCGAAAATGCGGCTCGCTCTCAAGCGGTTTGCGGGGCCGCCAAAGGCGGCCCCAAAACAACAACGACACTCCCGTTCGAGAGATCCTCCTTTTTTACTCAAGGCCGGTGCCCATGCTCGCCGCCGAAAGCAGCCGTCTCAACACAACCGGCGCTCCCGTTCGAGACTTTCCCCCGTTTTTCCTTTGGACAGGCGCGCTACTTTTTCTCTCATCGGCGGCGCCTCCCCCCAACAACAACAACGCCCCCGATCGAAACGTTCCCTCCTGTGTACTCAAGGCGGCGCTCCTGCTCGCTGCCGACAGCCCCCGTCAGGACAAAACCACCGCTGCCGCCCGAAACTTCCTCCCGCGCGACGCTGGACTGGCGTCCTTTTTCCCCTCCTCCTCCTCCTCGTGCTTGCCCTCGTCCTCGTCCTCCTCCTCCTCTTTTTCATCCCCTTTTCCGGCCTTCTCCCTCCCCCCCTCCCTCCTTCCTCCCCCTTCCTTCCTCCACCCCCCCCTCCTCCCCCACCACCCACTTCCCTCTTCCGCCCCTCTTTCCTCCCTCCTCCCCCTCCCCCATTATCCTCCTCTCCGCCTCCTCCTCCTCCTCCTCTTCCTCCCTCCTGTCTCCTCCCTCTTCCTCCTCCTCCTCACGCCTCCTCCCTCCTCGTCCTCCTCCGCCCCCCCTCCTCCTCCTCCTCCTCCTCCTCCTCCTCCTCCCCTCCTTCCTCCTCCTCCCCCCTTTCCTCGCCTCTCCTCCTCCTCCTTCCCCCTCGTCCCTTTGCCTTCCCTCCTCGTTCATCTTCCGTCTCCGCTCCTCCCCCTCCCCGCTCCTCCTCCTCCTCCTCCTCCTCCTCCTCCTCCTCCTCTTCCTCCTCCCTCCTCCTCCTCCTCCTCCGCCTCCTCTCCTCCTCCTCATCCTTCCCCTCCCCCCTCCTCCTTTTCCCCTCTCTGGGCCTCCCTGCTTCGCACCCCTAACCCCCATCCTTTTTTCCCCATCCCTCCTCCTCCCTCCCCCGTTCCTCTTTCCTCCCCCCTCCTCCCTCCTCATTACCCTCGGTGTCCCCCTTGTCTCCTCCCCCCTTCCTGCCCCCTCTTCCCTCCTCCTTCATCCCTTTTCCTTCCGTCCTCCCTCGTCGCCCCCGCCAGACACTTCCCCCACTTTGACTCGAGACTGGGGCGTTCGTTTCGGCATCGCCCGTGGAGGGCTTCCAGGTTCCCCTGTTGAATCTCACATATAATGTGGAAAATAACGAAAATAAGGACGGATGACTTCCAGGGGCTCCACGGATCGAGGGTCGAAGGATTGACTTCAGGGATTCTTTGGGAGGGCGTGGACAGGCAGGTGGGGGATGCGAGCACGGGAGCGGCAGCGCATGCGGGCGTGAACGTTCAGGGTCACGCGCCGAAGCCACCAGATGATGGCGCAACAATTTGAAAGAGGAGTTAAAAACACCTCGTCTTCGGACGTACTGCTACCACAACTACTCCTCTTACCTCCCCCTCCTCCTCCTCCTCCTCCTCCTCCTCCTCCTCCTCTTCCCCCTCCTCCCCCTCCTCCTCCTCTCTCCTCCTCCTCCTGCTCCTCCGCCTCCTCCTCCTCCTCTCCCTTTTCCTCTCCCCCATCTTCCATCTCCTCCTCGTCCTCTTCCTCCCAGTCCGGGATGCGGGGCGTGCGCAAGGCGATTGCGATGGCGATGCGGCTGCCGCCCGAGCGGTGGATGTCGAAAACCCTCGGAAGAGGTGACAACACTTTCTTGGGCGGGAAATCCGGGGAGGGAATATCGGACCCCGCGTGTCGACAAACATCCCCACGATAGGGGCGTGGTATCCAGAAGGATGCAGGCGACATGTGGAAGCATGTCGCATGATGGTAAACTGATTGTTGTTGTTGTTGGACTCTCACTTCTGAAGAATAATTCGTTTCCCCCCCCTCACCGGTGCATACGGACTTTCTCTATCAAAGTATGCCCCATCGACGCTCGCAATCTGTTTTTTTACAGGGAAAGTCTTCGTGTTCAGAATGGGCCTCTGGCCCCCTGGATTACAACAACAACGGCTCTGGCCTGAGATTTCCTCCGAATTTACTCAGGACCCCCGCTCCTGAGACTTCCTCCCAATTTACTCAGGATCGGTGCTCCCGCCTGCGACTTCCTCGCAATTTAGTCAGGACTCCCGCTCCCGTCTGAGACTTCCTCACAAGTTACTCAAGAACGGCCCTTCCGCTTGAGCCTTCCTCGCAGTTGACTCAAGACCGCCTCGCAATTTAATGAAGACCCCCGCTCCCGCCAGAGAACCCCTCACATGTTATTCGAGAGTTGCGCTCTCGCCTGTGACTTCCATGCAATGGATTCAGAAATCGCGCTTTCGATGCTTAGGGAACACGCTGCGCCAAGGACGCCGGTCCAATGTGTTTAATCATCACGCTCTCGCCATACTCAGGCATCCCGCTTGAATGTCCCACCCGCCCGACCCGCCCGTCAGGGGATCGCCCGCCCGTCCTGGGATCCCGCCCGAAACTTCCTTCAGGAACGGCGCTTTCGCCTAGGACTTTGTCGAACGTTCACGCGCTTATCTTCCTGCTCCTCCTCCCTCCTCTCCTCCCTCCTGTCCCCCTCTTCTCTCTCCCCCTTCTCTTCCCTCATCCTTATGCCTCCCTGCCCTATCCCCGCGCCCCCCTGTCCATCCTCCCTTGTTCCTCTCCTCTCCTGCCTCCTCCCTCCCTGTTTCTCTCTCTCTCTCTCTATCTCTCTCTCTCTCTCTTTCTCTCTCTCTCTCTCTCTCTCTCTCTCTCCCTCTCTCTCCCCGCTGTCTCCTTCTCTCTCTCTCTCTCGCTATCTTTTCTACTTTCCCTATATGTCTCTCTTTATGTATGTATCTCTCTCTCGCTCTGCCTCTAATAAACAGCCCCCCTCTTCGCTCCTTCTCTCCTGGCGATGTCCCTCTTCCTTCGTCCCGCCGCCTCCCTTCCTCCCACTCTCCCTCGTTCTCCCCCTCCTCTTTTCGCAGGGCCCATCAATGGCTAGCACATGTACGCCCACGAAGGATTCTCCGCCCTTTCAGGGTCTGCCCGATCCCCCAAAGGGTGTGTGATCGAAGACAAAAAGGCCGGGTATCGAGGGTGTGGGGAACTCGTTTTGAATGACAAACAGGCAAGTAAGAGCGAACAGTCTTAGAATGAGTGTTGTTGTTGTTGTTGTTGCTGAATGTTAATGACTACACAAGTACTGTTGTTGCACACCCCCAGGCGTTTTGGCGCTCTCGCCTCGACGCCGGCTGCATTTTCATTAAAATGAGGTTCACGCTCGAGCGGTTTGGGGGGCGCCAAAACGGGTCTCCCAACAACAACAACAACAAAAACAACAACAACAACAACAACAACAACAACAACAACAACAACAACAACAACAACAACGCTCCCGCTCGAGACGTCCTCATGTTTTACTCAGGGCCGATGCTCCTGCTCGCCGCCAAAAGCCGCCATCCCAACAAAACCAGCGCTACCGCTCGAGCCGCCCGACCGTTTTACCTTGGACTGTCGCGCTACTCTTTCTCTCATCGGCGCTGCCCCGAGCAACAGCAACGCTCCCGCTCGAGATGTCCTCCCTGTTTTTACTCAATGCGGTGCTGTCCCTCGCCGCCGACAGCCGGCGCCGCCCCCAGCAGCAAAAACGTTCCCGCTCGAGACTTCCTCCCATTTTTACTCAAGGCGGTGCTCTTACTCGCCGTTGACAACCGCCGTCCCGACCAAACCAGCGCTCCCGCCCGAGACTTCCTCCCGTTTTACGCTGGATACTCTCTTTTGACTTGGCACCGCTCCCAGCAAAAAGCAACGCTCCCGCTCGAGACTTCCTCGGTTCTTCCTCAGGACGGTGCTGTGCCTCGCCGCCACCAGCCCCCGTCCCGACAAAACCACGGTTCCCACTCGAGATTTCCTCCCTTCTTACTCAAGGCGGTGTTCCTCCTCGCCGCCGACAACCGCCGTCCCAACAAAACCAGCGCTCCCGCTCGAGACCTCGTTTTGTTTTACGCTGGACTAGCGCCCTACTCTCTTCAGCATTTGCGCCGCTCCCAGCAACAACAGCGGTTCTGCTCGAGACTTCCTCCCTGTCTATTCAGGGCCAGGTCCTTGCTTCGCCGCCGACGGCCCCCATCCCCACCAAGGCAATCCTGTCGCTCGATACTTCCTCGTGCTTGAAACGTGGCTGGGGCTCCACTGGCGGTCTCGCATCGGCGCAGCAAGGCGCGGGCATGCGTTTTCGAGGCGGAGGAGGGGTTTGCAAGACCTCATTGGGCGGGTGATCTGGGAATGGGAACAACATCAAGAAACCATTAAGGACCCCCCTGGGGTTATCATGAGCACAGCACCGTAATTGAATAATTATGGGGGGCGGTTTTCGCCGAACGATATGACTAGCACCGAACAAATGAAACAGCCAAATAATTCCCGCGCCCCGGCTCGGGTGGTATCCCAATTCGAATTGGAATAATTATAAGAAGAAGATCGAATGACATACAAGTAGTAAGAATAATAATAATAAGAGT